TATATATATATATATATATATATATATATATTATGTAATATCTTTATAATATTTATTTCTAATCTTAAATTTAGTATATTATATTGCATAACATGATAATTGTGGATGAATGTCATCTTAATGCACTAATTCAAGATGCTTGGGAAAGTCCAACTCCAACGGTAGAAATTACAGTAGATGACAATTATCGATTTGAACAATTTTTAGCTCGGCACAAAAAACAAAAGGCAAAGATGCTCATTTCGAACTTCGTAGGGCATTAATATAGCAAATAAGAGAGCAACATACTAATCTTTTGGATGTTGAATATTTATGTAGAAAACAAAATAAATTTTATAATCATGTAATATTTATTTAATTGTATTTCATCAATGATTTCACTTTTATTCATATTATCCATTAATATGTATAATGTGTAACATTTGCTATCAAATTATATTATTTTAAAACACTTGTAATATCAAATAATTTTATATGTTAAATGATTGTGTTAGAAAAGAATGTGAATTATATTGGGTGAAAATGTGAAAATATTTGTTTTATGAAATAAAAAATATAAAATAATAATATAATATTGAAGAGAGAGTAATATAAAAAAATATTCTATTTAGTGAAATTTAATGTAGTGGGTTGGAATTGACTCTATTTTAGTGTAAAATTTGGTGTTATGGGTTGGGATACCCTTAGAGGGGTGTCGAATGCAGGCAAGTAAAAATGAGGAGAGTTGGTAAAATTATGACTCAAACCTGTTGAAAGTTTATTGGGTAAAGATGATTATGACTCAAACATGTTGAAAGTTTATTGGGTAAAGATGAGTTGGGTCAATCTAGACTTCTTTTGATGATCGTGGTGTCCAAGCCAACTTTCGCACACCTCGACTAATTCCACGAGATACTTGCTACCTACGCTAGAATGGGTACCAAGTAAATCTGTCCACCAAGGCTAAGACAGAAGGGAAGAATCACTTAGTGTTTTTTTGTCTCCACTGAGTTTTGAACGTGACACCTCAGGATTTCTCAACCACTTCATTGACCACTAGGTTCTTAACCACTAAAGTCGATTTTGGATCTATCTCTCAACCTCCTAAGGTAGCCCCTGAGAAGTTGATTGTGTGAAGACTATGCTAAAAGGCTACAAAGTATACCCTTAATCAGTATGGGATTGTTACAACTCTTGTATGTGCCCATTGCAAGGACACTTGGAATATGAATAACATAATTAGGCTCGTATTAGGTAAACCAAGATTGGATGAGTCCAGTTCTTGTAGGGAAAATTATGCGGATAAGCAAACTTATACCATTTAATTACTCATCATAGCTACGATTTTCTATAATTACCACTCACGACTAACATTATACATTAATTACGTGGGCTGACGTCGAGTTTGTATAATTAATCATGTCTGTATATGTATAATTCGTCAGGATATACAAATAAATATTTATTATATACAAATTTTTAGCCTATATACATATACAATTCACCTCTCTTTCACTCTCTGCCCTCTCTCGCTTGCCTCTCTCCTCTCTCTCTCAATCTCGCTCTCCTCTCTCCTCTCTCTCCTAATCTCGCTTGCATTTATACAAATGTATATGTATGTTATATACAATTATATATATATATACAATTCACCTCTCTCCCACTCTCTGCCCTCTCTCTTTTGCCTCTCTTCTCCCTATCTCGATCTCGCTCGCCTCTCCTCTCTCTCCCAGTCTCGCTCGCCTTTCTCCTCCCTCTCCCAATCTCTCTTGCCATATATACAATTACATATGTATAATATACAATTATCTAACCAATATACATATACAATTCACCTTTCTCCCACTCTTTTCCCCCTCTCTCGCCTCTCTCCTCTCTCTCCCAGTCTCGCTTGCCTCTCTCCTTCATATAACATGTAGCTACAAATTGTAATTATCAAACTATAGATATGGAGAGTAATTAATTATTATAAGTGGCTATATGTGAAAGCTTCCATTCTTGTACTGTGTTATTGAAAGTCGACTTTAGATATAACTCAATTCCAAGATCAGCATGGGGTGAGAATTGTCCAAAACCAAATCGAATACATTCATGCTTCAACGATCGTGGGACTCTAACAAGGTGAAACAACATTCATTCTGTCCCAATTTATTTATGTGACACTTTCCTTTCTAGTATGTCTCTGAAATATTGAACCTTACAATTTTGGAAACTATTTAGTCTGTCATCAGTCTTATTTAAAACGATAATTTTTGTACTTGACATATATTTGTCTAACATGTGAAAAAATATCTTTATTTTCTTAGACTCCGTGAAAATAGAAGAGAATTCAGGAATATAATTTCTTGATTATTCCCTCAAGCATGTTGGGATCAAGTTGTGTTTATATCATGAAAAAGAAAAGAAAATAATTCCTATTACACAATTATTTGCATTCGGAACATTTCCCATATTTACAAGGAATAGGCTCTTACCAACAACATCCTAATTATTCTTAGTTCTATCCTCTTTGAATTTCTCTTATTTCTCACTGGTCTTTGCCAATGTCAAATCAGCCAACAGATATGTTCAAAGGACATTATCTTATGTAATTTTTGTGTTTTGCTGCATCAGCTTCAGAATGTACATCTGGAAGTACAAGGGATATGTTCTGAGGGCAGCCATTATTCTTTGCTCACCCTGCTGTCTCTCTTCTGTTTCTGTCTCTAGTTGCCTCTCTTTGGGCTTTTGGAGCTTAAAAACCATATAACAATAGCACAATCACTGCATTTATTTGAAAAAATAATGCTTGTGATCTAAGACATTAGGTTAATTGCCTGTTCAATTTAATAACCATATTAGTGAAAGCTATTAGTTGAGTATTGGTATAAGACTTGTTAGAGAATTAATATCATTATTATTATAACTACGTTGCCAGCCCAAGCTCATATATATGTTACTCCGTATGTCCCAATTCATCAATTTATGTGACATCGATGGAATATGGAGAGTCAACCAAATTGTCTATGGTTTTAACTATTTTTAAGTTGTTAATTATTGTGATTATAGTACTTTTTACGTCATTTTTAGATAATACATGTCACTCTCTCTGTCCCAATTTATGTGGCATTGATAAAATTTTGAGTGTCAACCGACTTTTTTATGTCTCTTAAATATTTTAAGTTGTTAATTATTGTGATTTATAGAAATTTTTCCTAATTTTTGAATATATAACATTCTAGAAAGACAAGTTAGACGGAGAAAATATTGAGTTTCCCTCGGCTAGAAGCAGACATGTCGAGGGACAGTGGCCTGCTTCTGGCCACTTACTAGTAACAAAATGATATATAAAACTTATTTTTCACTTTTATTTTACTTAGTATGATGTTGATACGAAATGACAAAAAGTGGAGATTCATATCGTTAATTCCAACTTATTTGAGTCTGAGGCGTAGTTATTATTGTTGATGACAATGATGTCATCATTACGATATATTATGTATCCTCTTTTTTTTAAACATAATTATTTTTATTTTTTATTTCCAGTTTTGGCAAGGAAAGTATACATGGAAGAAATATTTAAGCAAGCTACTGATGAACAGTATTGGAATCTCTGGAATCGCCAGAAACTATGTTCTGAGCTGGAGTTAAAGAGGCAACATGTAAACGAAGTTAATAAGGTACCATCAGAATGATCAATGTCAATGCTTTTGTTCCTTCCCTTCCTAATGTTTTTCTCATCACTTCTGATTTTCTACTTTACGTAGAGCTTGACCAGCCAGCTAATTGAATTGGAGAGACATTTCAACACTCTCGAGTTGAATAAGTTTGGCGACACTGACAGGATACAAACAAATAAAAGAGGTTTCCAGAGCAGGCCAGGACAACCCAGGTATTGGTGTTCTCTTGTTCTCTTTGGCTACACAATTAGGTCTATCTTAGTTATGATTGTCTACTTTTTACAAACACTTCAATATGATTGCATGTATTGCTTAAACTTTCTTTTCGTGAGAAGAACAAATTCGCTTCTCCAACCTGCATTCCCTCTGTACCAGAACCTTGTTTTTCTCATCTTTATTGATTAAAGTTTGGGTGAATGTTGGAGCTATTTGCATTTCAGGAATTTTCAGTCCTTGCACAATTTACGTAATACAATGACAACACAGCTAGTAGTAGCAAAGCAACTTTCTGAAAGTCTCTTGAAACTAATGACTGATTTGAGCATAGATTCTCCTGCAAAAGGTCAGAATATTCGGAAGGAATTGTTTGAAACAATTGGTTTACCCTATGATGGTGCTTCTCACAAGTCTCCAGCTAGGGAAAAGGCTGAAAATACACCTTTTAACAAGGAACTATCAGTCTTTCTTGCTGTTAAAGAACGATCCAGGAGAAAGAAGCCAAGTCCTGTGAAGAGCCTTGAGCCAGAGACAGCTAGGAGACGCCGTGACTCACTTGATCGTGTAATATTCCAACCTTCTCTTGAGATGCTGATAAAATTTCTCCAACTTGACACCTGGAACACCTTTAGGTGGGCCACTGCTTTATTGCATAAAACATCATATTTCAATATGAACAATTGTTGCTGTTATTTATAGCTGATCTTACTACTTTAAAGCTTTCATTACTTCACTTATTGTGCACATGAGGGAGTGAATTTTAACACAGTTGTGTTGTATAGTTGTGTAGTATTAGACAAGGTCCCGGGCCCTGACGGATTTACTTTGGCTTTTTCCCAAAATTGTTGGAGTACAGCTAATAGCGATATTATTCAGACCATCAATGAGTTCCAGGAAAGAGGGGAATTTTAGAGGAGCTTAAGTGTTTTATTCATCGGCATTACCCCTAAACGGGAGGGAGCTACGAGCATCGGGAATAATAGACCTACTAGTTTCTAAGGTGCTTTATATTAGACTCAAGAAGGTCTTGAATAAGTTTGTTTTATCTTCACAAAATGCTTTTGTGGAAGGTAGGAGATCGTGGATGCAACTTTGGTGGCAAACAAAGTGGCAGATTCGAGAAAGAAGCAGAGTGTACGAAGAGTATTGGCAAGCTAGATCTTGGAAAGGTTTATGATTATACTGAAAGTTCCTTGATTTCATTATGCTGAATGGTATTTGGGAAGAAAATGGGTCAGCTTTCGTATTTCTTTGGTGCGCTTCTCAGGTTGGTGCAGTTATATAGGCCACAACACCTTAGTCACATGTCTTATCCTATGCAGTTGACATCCCTGAACTGCGAGGCCAATTTGAATTCAAAATACAAGTGTACTTATCTTGTTGACAATGCCATAAACGGATGAAAATCACGGAACTTCCCTACTGTCGATGTATGTGCGTGGCACACACAGGCGACCTTCACATCTGGTGCCAAAATGTCTACTCTGGCACCCAGCTTCATGCCTTCCCCATGTGCCTGCATTGTGCGCAGGTTCTCCAGTTGTTATGGGGTCAACTTATGATGGTTCAACGCCACAAAGAAGTCATGCACGTATGACTCTGGTTGAACCTTTCGGATAGGCGGAAGATATACCCCACCTTCCATGTGAGTTTTCTGAAGTCATTTCATGAGATGCTGGGGATCCAGCAAGTTCGGCATCCAGACGTGCCCAACCTGTTGTGCGGAAGCACTATGAGGAAGAGATTGAGAAGATCTTGGATGACCACACTTAGGGTCATAGCAAGAAGAATCAGTGCATAGAATGAATTTTTGGTGGGCAAACCGGTGTGGTTTTAGTTGGGAGAGAGGACCATAATTGTGGCAGTTTGAAGATGAAGTCAAGGTGTACATAGATTCTGCCTCGTCAAGGACGACGAGCTCATTTAGTGGGGGGAGGTTTTGATGGCTAGGGATTTACATGATGAACCTAGTCATGACCAAATGACTTCGGTTAAGATCAACTTTACTTAAGGCAAGACTGTCTGCAGGTCATGACAAGACCTTGACGGTGGTGTGAATAAGGCATGACAAGGGCTGCTCTAGGCAAGGCTATGGTCGTGGCTGAGACAAGTTTGTGGACTATGACCTGGAGCATCACACACTGGTTTGCCCTTCCATTGAACCAGAAGTTCTATCCGCCGATTCTTCTTGCTATGACCCAAAGTCTGGTGATCCAACATCTTCTCAATCTCTCCCTCATATTGCTACTGCACAACAGGAGGGGCACGTCTGGATGCCAACCTTGCTGGGATCCCTAGCATCTTCATGAAATGACTTCAGAAAACTAACATGGAAGGTGGGGTGTATCTTTAGCCTATTAGACAAATTCATCCGGAGTATACAACGTCGTGTGGACTATGACCTGGGCAAGGCAGGCGAGTAAGGGGATTGGGTACCAATTACAAGTTGTGCGATGCAGAACCTGCACACGTGCACATGCTTCGAATATTGGATAGTTTTTTTAATTTCCAGACGTTGATGCTACAGGATTAGTAAGACTTATATCATGAAGCAGTTGGGTTACCCCCAACTGCATAGAGGACAAGACATGTGCCTGGCGTGTGACAAGCGGTTATGGCCTATTTGATGTTACAGGCCATATTTAGCTTTGTTGGCTGAACTTTGAAAGGCTGAGTTCTGTGTGCTTCTTTTTGGCACAAGCTAAAATACAAAGTTGGGAAGCGATTCTTGTATGTGCCTTATGTTGTGATTTTATATGCCATAAATAATCTGAGTGTTGAACCAAACTTATGGAAAAAGAAGAGGGCTAAGTCGTAGGTGCGTGACTGCTGTGTGGAGTCAAACGAGGAAAAGTTAACCCATAACAACTGGAGAACCTATGCACAAGGCAGACATGTGGGCAAAGACGCGAAGCTGGGAGCGAGAGTGTGCATTTGGTGCCAGATTTGAAGGTTGCCTGCGTGTGCCGTACACATGCCATGGTAGTACGGTAGTTCCTTGATTTCCATCCATTTATGGTATTATTTACATGATTAGTTAGACTTGTATTTTGAATTTCAAATTAGCTCAACAGTTGGAGGATGTCAACTGCATAGGATAAGACATGTCTGACATGTAACAAGGTAGTTGTGGCCTGTTTAATGACACATGCAGACTAAGTAGCAGCTCACTTGTTGATGACATTAAGGAGGGATTGCAGCATGATCCCATTGCTAAACAACTCTTCGCCTTGGCCCAGCAAGGCAAGATGAAGAAGTTTTGGGAGGAAGACGGCCTGCTCTATACAACGGGCAGGCGTGTGTACGTTCCGAAGTGGGCTAACCTTCGGCGTACCTTGATGAAGGAAGGCCATGACTCTGCTTGGGCTGGTCACCCGGGGCAGAAGAGGACCTTGGCCTTACTTGAAGCTTCATACTACTGGCTTCGGATGCGGGATGACGGCGAGGCCTATGTGCGAACGTGCCTTATTTGTCAATAGGACAAAGTTGAGACAAAGGTACCGGCCGGATTGCTGGAGCCGCTGCCCATTGCTGAAAGTCTTGGGACAGCGTCACAATGGATTTCATAACCTGCTTGCCAAACACGGAGGGCTTTGGAACAATTATCGTGTCCCGCCCCGCAAGGCGGTACATTAAATTCCGTCTATTCCAAAAATGCAGCAGCACTTCCTCAAAGCTTGGAGGGTCCAAATGCCTTGTCAAACTGCCTCCCCAAATGATGGAGGTTGCTTGCCAACATAGAGAAACAGGCCATGCTCACCAGGCCAGCCAAGGGCTGAAAGACAAAATTCTGTGCGAGCAATCTACCATGTGGCAGTAAAGCTGTGAAGACAAAACTGCCTCTTTTCCAGCCTCACAGAATCTGCCACTTGTAGCCTTTTTTTTTGAATTGTTTCCAGACATTTTTGGCTCACTTTTGTAGCCTTTGTATATTGAAGAAGTTGTCATTCAGATAGGGTAGTTAGCATATACTTTCTCTCTTACTTTGTAAAAAGCTCTCTTGGAAATATTGGAAAATTGGCCTTGCTGCCTCCCAAACTTGGCTTCCTTTCTTGTTTTTTCATTTTCTATTTGTGGCTTTGCTTGTGGACTCTTGCTTTTAGATTCTTTGGGCGTTTGGTTGGACTGAGTTAGAAGAGCCGTGCAAGCCTTCTCGACTGTCCCACGGGGTGCTGAAAATTGACCTCGTGACAAGTTGGTATTAGAGCAGCAATTGAGCATGACGTCCAGGTTGCAACGGAATGAGGAGATCGTTCAAGACAAGGAACCAGAAGTTCGGAAAGAACCATCCAAGAAACGAGACAAGAGCAAGGTAAGAGAGCCCTCTTGTAACCCTTCTCTTGCTGGTCGAACTGCTGTTGAAGAGCAGGAAGGCGCGGACAACAACCCACTCGACGAGAGAATCGTCGGAGTTGAGGTGGGGTTGTCGGCCTTGAACAGGAGAATTGTTGTGGTTGAAAATAATTTCAGTTCCCTCGAGTCCGTAGCCACTGAAGGGCTGGACGAGGTGAAGAACAACTTGGGTGAACTTGAAGATATTCAAAGAGAGGGTCTGTCCGCCCTTGAGCTCATGTTCAACGAAGCCATCTCTTCCCTTCAAAGAGAGGTGGAGGCTTTGAAACGGCAGGTTGATGAGACTGCCGAGGCGGGAGTTGCTCCTCCCGTTACAGTTCGAGAGACCCGTATTGAGGCCCCTAAACCCAAGGAGTTCCGAGGGGATAGGAGTGCTCAGGATGTAGAGAACTTCATATGGCAAATGGAGTCCTATTTCGAACACGTTGACATGCACAATGAAGCGGAAAAAATCAGAACGGCAGCGATGTACTTGACAGACACGGCCATGCTGTGGTGGCGACGGAAAAAGGCTGATATGGAGAGAGGGGCTTGCCAGATTAATGATTGGGAGCAATTCAAAACTGAGCTCAAACGGCAGTTCTATCCCCAGAACGTCGTCCACGAAGCCCGCAGGAGGTTAAGGGAGTTAAAGCAGACTTCCTCCATTCGGGATTATGTCAAGGAATTCATGAAGTTGACACTTCAGATTCCTAGTTTGACGAGTGAGGAATTGCTGTTCTATTTTCTTCATGGCCTTCAAAATTGGGCCAAGCAGGAGCTGCAAAGGCGTCAAGTGCATGATGTTGATGAGGCGATCGTAGTGGCGGAATCGCTCAACGATTTCCGTGGTGATGCTGCCAAGGGGACGGATAACAGGAGCAGAACTATTCCTCCCAAAGTCGACAACAACAGCAGGGGCCGGAGCAGACCAAATACTAACCGAAGCAGTGACACGAGAAGCAACCCCCGTGATCAGCCTTCCAACTTCCGGAAAAATTATGAAGACCGCAAGAGGGGTGCCCCGGGAAGGCTGTTACATCTGCGGAGAGACGACCCGTGCCGCTCGGTACTGTCCGTCGTTGAGGAAGCTGAGCGCCATGGTGGCTGCCGAGAAGCAGCAAGAGAAGGCTGCAATGCAAGCGGGAAGTTCTGCCGGTGACAAAGGAAAGAACGTGGCCGTGGCATGTTCAATCATATGGCGCTGATCAACCACATCTCCACTGCTGCTTTGGCTGCCAAACCAGCTAGCGTCAGGCCTCGATAATCTCTGTTCGTCGATGCCAAGCTAAACGGCACAGACGTGTGGATCATGGTAGACATAGGGGCAACCCACAACTTTGTGACTGAGCAGAAGGCCAGGGAGCTGGGCCTAAGTTATGTTGCCAGTAATACCAAGTTGAAGACCGTCAATGCCACTCCTACTACTGTCATTGGCTTCGCGCCTAAAGTTTCGATTGAGTTAGGAGAGTGGGCCGGGCAGACTGATTTTACAATTGCCCCAATGGATGTTTTTGATGTCATCTTAGGACTTGACTTTTGGTATGAAGTCAATGCCTTCATCTTGCCGCGTCGTAACTAGCTTCATATCAGTGACATTGGTGGGTCTTGCGTGGTACCCCTTACTCGGGTACCACAAACTGGAATGCATTTGTCGGCAATGCAGATCATCAAGGGCTTCAAGAGAGGCGAGCCAACATTTCTTGCCACTCTAATTGAAGACGCTGGGAGCTACATTGAGGCAGTTCCATTGCCGCCTTGCATCGAACACGTCCTTAGCACCAACAAGGACGTTATGCCAACAGAACTTCCCCAACGGCTGCCACCCCGGAGGGAAGTTGATCACCAAATTGAGCTGGTTCCAGGGGCAAAGCCGCCTGCCATGACGCCTTATCGCATGGCGCCCCCGGAACTGGAGGAGTTAAGGAAACAGCTCAAGGAGTTGTTGGATGCTGGACACATCAGGCCGTCCAAGGAGCCGTTTGGTGCGCCTGTGTTATTCCAGAAAAAAGAAGGACGGGACGCTGCGGCTATGCATTGATTACTGGGCCCTCAACAAGGTCACGGTAAAGAACAAGTACCCCGTTCCTTTGATTGCAGATTTGTTCGACAGGTTGGGACAGGCAAAGGTGTTCACCAAAATGGATTTGAGAAAAGGGTATCACCAAGTTCGGATTGCCGAAGGTGATGAGCCGAAGACTGCTTGTGTAACGTGTTATGGTGCGTTCGATTGGCTGGTGATGCCATTTGGGTTGACGAACGCACCGGCGACATTCTGCAAGCTGATGAACAGACTGTTCCACTCCTACTTGGATCAGTTTGTTGTGATTTATTTGGATGATATCGTTATCTACACCAACAACATGGAGGACCATGTCGAACACTTGTGTAAAGTGTTCAAGATCCTGCGCGGCAACGAGCTGTATGTGAAGCGTGAGAAGTGCAGTTTCGCACAACCAATTGTCCATTTCCTTGGGCACACTATCAGCCATGGCAAGATTTAGATGGATAGCTACAAGATAGATGCTATCAACAATTGGGAAGCACCAACGAAGGTACCAGAATTGAGGTCGTTCCTTGGCCTTGCCAATTACTACCAGCGCTTCATCTTCAATTATTCCGCAATTGCAGCTCCTCTCACAGATTTTCTGAAGAAGGACCGTGACTGGAATTGGTCGGCAGCTTGCCAAGATGCCATTGAGAGGCTGAAGTTGGCTGTGATGGAAGCACTTGTCACGGGGTCAATTTTCAGCACCTCATGGGACAGTCGAGAAGGCTTGCACGGCTCTTCTAACTCTGTCCAACCAAACGCCCAAAGAATCTAAAATCAAGAGTCCACAAGCAAATCCACAAACAGAAAATGAAAAAACAAGAAAGGAAGACAAGTTTGGGAGGCAGCAAGGCCAATTTTCCAATATTTCCAAGAGAGCTTCTAAGAGAGCTTTTTACAAAGTAAGAGAGAAAGTATATGCTAACTACCCTATCTGAATGACAACTTCTTCAATATACAAAGGCTCCAAAAGTGAGCCAAAACGTCTGGAAACAATTCAAAATAAAGGCTACAAGTGACAAATTCTGTGAGGCTGGAAAAGAGGCGAATTTGTCTTCACAGCTTTACTGCCACATGGCAGATTGCTTGCACAGAATTTTGTCTTTCAGCCCTTGGCTGGCCTGGTGAGCATGGCCTGTTTCTCTATGTTGGCAAGCAACCTCCATCATTTGGGGAGGCAGTTTGACAAGGCATTTGGACCCTCCAAGCTTTGCGGAAGTGCTGCTGCATTTTTGGAATAGAAGGAATTTAATGTACCGCCTTGCGGGGAGGGACACGCTCCCCCGCCTGAATTGGCGATGACCCCGATGCCACATAACTGCATGTACCGATGGAACTTGTCGCGAAACTGCCACAAGTCTTCGTACTTCTCCCAAGTTGCCTCCTCCGGCGCCGTTCCCTTCCAGTGAACAAGGAACTGTGAACTAGAATTGTTCCAGCCTTTCCCACGAACAAGCTGGTGATCGATGATAGCCGCAATCTGTTTGTCCACAGTAGGCGGCGTGATGAAGATTCTGGCCCTCTCGGACTGCCCCGATCCTTGTCTTCTTTGTCTTCAAAATAGGGCTTTAATTGGCTTGCGTGGAAGACAAGATGAATCTTCAGATGGTGAGGCATGTCTACACAAATAAGTATTTAAACTTTTATAAAGTTGAACAAATAAACACACGAGTCCTATGTGTCACAATGCGCGTAGAACATCACATAAGACACAAATTTTCATGTAGGACATTTATGTCTATTTGTTTAATTTTATACAAGTTTAAGTGTCTACTTGTGCACACCCAAAGTTAGAGTGCCTAGATGTGAAACGACATCAAGTCAAAGGGTATATCTATGTATTATGTCTATATTAATTGTGTAATGAAAAATCATTATGACTAATTATTAAAAAATTCATAGTAACTATGATTATGAAAAAATCATCACTATTACTATGTGAAAGATGTAAAGATTGTTGGTTTTTTCTTGCTAACAATAACTTCCAATTTAATAATGACATTGAATTGTAAGTATAAAAATAAAAATATTAATTACCATAATACGAATAGTCAAAATTCATCAAATTCCAAAATAAATATTAAATGAAAAAACCCATATTTTAAATAATTTCAAGAAAATAAATAATAATTAAGGGCATTTTTAATGAGTATTGAATTGTAATTTTAGCAGGAAATAGGAGTATTAATAGGAACAGTCAAAATTTATCAAGTTTCAAAATAAATATTAAATGAAAAATAATATTATAAATAATTTCAAAAAAATAAATTAATAATCAAAGAATAATTTTGCAGATTCGCCCTTTAATATTTTATTGAAATAAATCTCTTAACTATGGTATAATATTGCAAATCGAAGAGCTAGATGATGAATATAATTTGTTTTCATAAAAATTTATATAACTTAATTATTTTTCCTAATCGAAGCTCCCTTATTTATTCAATAGTGGTAGTGTCAAAATTTTAATACAATACTAATGAGAAGCAAAGTGTCGCTATAACTAAGTGTTTTTATAGAAATCATTAGCTTTGATTCAAATCTTATATTTATGTTCAAAATATATGCTTAATATGTAAAACAATCTATATAAAATCTTGTAAGCAAAATAGTTATTGTTTAAATTCATAAATTAAAAATTATAAAATTACCGTTCTATCAATAATATAATATAACTTAATTTTAGCGAGCTATTTATCTTTTTTCTTTTCAAACAAGTGAATAATGAATTAAGTACTTACCAATCAACACATATAACTTAGGGAGTGTTTGGTTTAAATATGGTAAAATAATATTTTGCTAGTTTTTATTAATAACTGAATACCAAGAAATGCATATACTAAGTCTTAAATTTCTACAAAAGGAAAACTTAATTAATTCTTTTGAAAGCTCTTTTAACTTATTGAATTCAATGACATCTTAATAAATTTTTGTAATATGTGCACTATTAATATTAAAGTTAAGCTATCTGGAAATTTACTCAATCCTATCTGCATTTATCACCCACACTCAATTTCTTACTATATATACATATTTCATCGATATTCAATTTCACAAAAACTCTCCTTCATTTGCACTCTTCTCTCTTTGTTTTTTTTTTTGAGAAAACAAAAAAATATATGTTGATGATGTGGCGTAAACTGAAGAAGGTGCTTTCACTTAAGCGTAAGGATAACAATCCCCCCAAATCACCTGCTATCCCTGCAGCGCCGTCCTCCTTGTCCCGTTTACCTAGCCCCACCGCACAATCATCCAAGGTCCGTTTTTCATTCTCCTCTCTTTTTATTTTTGTTTTATTTTTTTTCGTTTTCTCCCCTTTTTGTCTAAAATTCTCCATCTGTATTTCACTTTTTACTTTCTGACGACATTTAAATTGCGGCACCACTAAGAGAAGCAGATGTCAATAATCCAATAAAAATATACTTTTTCTAAGTGAATTTTAAGTTCATATTCTTACTTAACTACCTTTTATTTGTAATTTGATTAAGATGAAAAGTGAAGTGGGACAGATGTGATAGTTGGAGAGTAAATTCACCTAAAATTATAAAGAGCTCAATCCACCCACCCGCCCACCCTGACCCCCACCCCCACCCCATTTAGTGTGATTTGTTGTAAAGTCTCACTGTACAAATTATAATTTTTAGAAAAATATTTACTTAAACTCATATAAATTGAGGGCATAAATTTATGAAAAAATATAATTTGAACCTCTCCCTTGTTGTCGCATCTCATTCCCTAGTTTTGATCTTAATTAGTTGTACCATTAGTTTCAGTGTGTCAATGAGGATATATATTGTTTACATTTTTTCGACATTGATTAGTCAACAAAAGAAGTCCAATTTTACAATATAATGTTATGTTCCTTAAAGGCAACATGATTTTCATTCTTTTGAAGCTGAGATATAAATGAAAGTCAAGAGAGAGGGGTGGGGGGTAAATTTTCTATTCAGTCGACTTCCTATAATGGTCAGTCGACTTACCTGCACATTAGTAGAACAGATAAATAGTAACAATAATTTGCAGTAATCAAACAACACAAAGAGTTTTTATATTGGTTGTGAACATCGATGTGGTGCCTATGTCCAGTCCCCTTTGGTTTCAAGGGTTTCCTTTAGAGATTTTCAGTGACTTCAGATGCACATGATTTTTGTGATTAGATCCTATCTGATATGCAAAATCAGATGTTGTATCTTGCCACTTGCTCTACTTGTAAACCTAGAATCTTTTTTTTTCTTTTCTTTTCACTTGTTTCACTCACATGATTGCAAAGCTTTGTGAAAGATAAAAGAAGATTACACTATAAGCTGAAGTGAAGTTGTGTGATAAATGAGGTTTATATAGATGTGAAAGGTGCTGCTCTGTTTCAGAAACCCAAGGGAGTTTGAAATCAAGGATCCTTAAATTGAGTCCTTGATTTATTCTAATTGATTTGCTGAAACATGTCCATATCAGATATATGCATTATTAAATCAATCCCTTCCTTTTTTAGATGATCTCCTTCAATCTTGGTTGATCTTCAATCCCTTCCTTGAATCTTGGCTAATATATTCTTCGTTGATTGATTCACAGATGTTCTCTTTCCTTCTTCAAATGATTACATTACTTGACTTGAGATCTCTTTTCTATAAAGATTTTTTAATGATTGTGAAAACATAAATAATCTAACATTTAGAAATTCTATCAATTATTCAGGATCGTAGAACTATATGATTTTCACATATATTTAATACTATGATATTTCAATCAAGAATACATACCCGAGTCTGCCATTATAATTCTTGACTTTATTGAGCGGAAGTCTTTTCTTTTGGTTCTTTAGGAGTTGTTTCTCTCTCTTGCCTTATACTCTATGTATAGCTTTGATGCATAAGACTGTATTTATTGCAGAGAGAGGACCCTTTAAATAGGGTGTGTTTTAACATTATTCCACCTTTCCATCATGGTGAGTAGTGGAGATAATGGATAGTTGAAAGAGGTAATGGGTAAAGTGGAAGACTTAATGGGTAGTTGAAGTAACTTCTCCACATCCCCACTTCTCCACTTATCCAATGAGAATTAGAATTTAGTTAGTAATTAAATAGTAAACTAAAATAATATTAATGTGAGTGGGTCATAAAACTAACATTCTCCCACTTGACACACGTAACATAATTTACTTAATGATTTAATAAACATTTCAATTACAATGTGCATATATATTGAATTCAACATTATTTGTTGTTATTAAGTAAATCAACTAATATGAGTCATGGCGGTTGTACACCACTTTATTTGGCATAGTCCCTTCCATGCACTACAATATTAGTCTATTGCCTAACACAACATTTCAAACACATAATGGGTCCACCATAATGCTTAGAATATCTTTATCTAAAACAAAACTTGTCATCATCATTCTCAACATAACGTATACAAGAGGAAACAGGTAATAACAGAAACATATATATAGCTGAGCTCAAAAGTGTCAATTGCATAAACATAATATAATCTTTACATAAAGTCAGTCATTGCTATTCATAAGACCCATTCTTTCAACATGTTCAACAAATGTTTTGGGCGGTAACCCTTTCGTCAAAGGATCAACAATCATAAGTTTGGTGCTATTATTTTCAATTGTCACTTTCTGTTTCTTGACTTCCTCCTTAACTGAAAAGTATTTCAATTATATATTTTTGGCACCCTTAGAGTACTTATCATTTTTAGAGAAGAAAACTGTTGCAGTATTATCACAATAAATTTTTAGCAGCTTGAAAATACTTTCGACTAGTCCAAGTCCTGAAAAAAAGTTTCGCATGAACTGTGGCCTCAAAGCATGCCACAAACTCAGCTTCCATAGTGGATGCAACTATAACAGACTGCTTCACACTCTTCCATGTTATTTCTCCTCCAGCTAATAGGAAAAAAAATACCCAAATGTGTATTTTTGTGTATCCACACAACCAACATAATTTGAATCTGATTATTCAATCACATCAAGATGATCATATCTTCTATAAATGAGCATATGATCTTTAAGTCCTTGCAAGTATCGCAAAAATTTCTTCGCAATTTTTCAGTGATCCATTCCTAGATTACATTGATAACAACCCAACATTCCAACAGCAAAACTGATGTCTGGTCTAGTACATGTTTGGGCATACATTGGACTCCCAACTATTGATGCATAAGTAATATCATTCATTTGCTTACGTTCCAATTCATTCTTTGGACATTGATTGATACTAAATTTATCTTCTTTCTGAATTTGAACGAGACTTGATGAGCATTTTTCCATTCTAAATCTCTCTAACACTTTATTAGTATGGGCTTTCTGAGAAAAAACCTAATAATCCTTGTGATCTATTTTGAAATATTTCTATTCCAATCACATAGGATGCCTCTCCCATATCTTTCACTTTAAAATTGTTAGATAAATATCTCTTGGTATCATGCACAAACCAAGATCATTAGTAGCAAGCAAGATGTCATCAACATACATGACTAAGATAATAAACTTACTCCCACTAACCTTCAGATATATACACTAATCAACAATGTTTTCCTTAAATCCAAAAGCGACAATATTTTCATCAAACTTAAGATACCATTGTCGAGAAGCTTGTTTAAATCCGTATAATAACTTATTAAGTTTACACACCATTTGTTTCTTTCTTTTACAAGAAAACCCTTCATGTTGATTCATATAAACTTCTTCCTCCAAATTTCCATTTAGAAAGGCTATTTTCACATCCATTTGATGTAGCTTTAAGTCATAATGAGCAACTAAATCCATTATAATTCTGCGTGAATCTTTTCTAGGTACAGGTAAAAATGTTTCTTTATAGTCGATGCCATCCTTTTGAGTGAAACCTTTTGAAACAATTCTGTCCTTGTGATGTTCGATGTTGTCAGTTGAGTCACGTTTGGTCTTAAAGACCCATTTAAACCCAACTATTTTGCAACCTTCTGGTAATTCAACAAGGTCCCATACTTTATTTTGTTCCATAGATTTAAACATATCTTTCATAACATTTATCCATCCATCAGAATTATTACTTTCAATAGCTTGTGAAAATGAATCTGGATCATTATAAATTCCTAAGTTAATTTATGACTCGTGTAAATATAACAAATAGTCATCAGAAATAGCAGGTCTCTTTTGTCTTTGAGATTTTCTTAATGCTACTTGTTGTGGTACATCTACTACAAGTTCATTAATTATTGCTTCACTTAGATAAACAGGAGCATCAATTTGTTATTCTTGTTCATTGTTAGGTTGTGCAACAAGTTTATGAACAACATCTTTAAAAGAAGTAAAAGGTAAAGAAAACCTCACCCTAACTTCTTTAATTTCCACTTTGCGTGGTTCTTCACTCCCACTAACTTCACCATTCTTAATGAACCTAGCATTTCCAGTTTCAACTATTCTTGTACTGTGATTAGGACAGTAAAATCTATGTCCTTTTGATTTCTCAAGATAACCAATGAAGAAACCATTGATTGTTCTTGAATCCAATTTCTTTTCTTGTGGGTTATAAACTCTAACTTCTGCAGGGCAACCCCAAACATGCAGGTGCCTTATACTAGGTTTCCTACAAGTCCATAGTTCAAGAGGAGTTTTTGGGACTGCTTTACTAGGAACCCTATCAAGTAAGTAAACGGCAGTCCTTAAAGCATACATCCACAATGAAAGAGGAATAGATGAATTACTTAACACACTCCTAATCATGTCCATTAATGTACAATTACGCCTTTTTGCTACACCATTTTGTTGTGGTGTTCCAGGCGTTGTGTATTGAGCACATATGCCATTTTTTTCGAGGAATTTTGCAAATGGACCTGGGTGTTGTCCATTTTCATCATATTTTCCATAATATTCACCACCCCTATATGACCTGATTATTTTCACCTTTCTATCTAGTTGTCTTTCAACCTCAGTAATAACGACCTCTAAGGCATTTATCGCTTTGAGACTTTTCATGCAACAAATAGACATACCCATAACGTGAAAAATCGTCAATAAAAGTGTTAAAATATTTTTCTTTACTGAAAGATGTAATATCACAAAGACAACATATGTCAGTGTGTATAATTTCAAGAAGTTGTGTGCTTCTTGTGGCTCCTTTCTTTGTGTGTCTTGTTTGTTTTCCTTTAATACAATCCACACAAATTTTAAGGTCTGTAAAATTCAAATTTGGAAGAGTTTCATTCTTAACTAATCATTCCAATCTTTCTTTGGATATGTGACCTAAACGTTTGTGCCACAAGAAAGCAGATTGTTCATTCACCAAACTTCGTTTGGTTCCAATATTATGATGCAGAGTTAAGAGTGTTTCGTCAAATATATTATCAAGATTCAGTTTGTATAAGTTATCACAAAGAGTACAAGTACCAATGAGATAATTATGTTTAAACAAACTAAAATATCCATTACTAAAATTAAAAGAGTATCCAGTCTTATCCAACTTAGACAAAGAAACTAAATTTCTCGAAAGATAAGGTACATAACAAGTTTCAAGTAAATCTAAGTGGTGCCTAGTATTAAGGATCAAACGGTAAGTTCCTAAATAGCTTTAACTGGAGCCTTCGCTCTATTCCCGTATACATATATCATTCATTCTGGTTTATGATTTGTGTTGTAAGGAATCCCTGCATAGTATTAGAAACATGAATAGTACAACCAAAGTCAACCCACCAAGTATTTTAAGGAACTTCAGTTAATTTAATTCGAGACCTGTAAAATTACTAGGCTTCCCTTTCTTCTCGAGTCATGCCTCAAATTTCAGGCAATGTTTCTGAAAGTGTCTAGATTTTCCACAGAACTTATCATTCTTATGTTCCTTCTTATGTATTTGAGAGGAGGACTCATAATGGTTCCTCTGTTTTCCTTTATCATGTTTCTTTTCTTTCTTTCCAACTCATTGATGTCTTACAAGGTTAATGGAGTGGGTTCCTTGGTTCTTGAGCCTTACTTCCTCCTGAACCAACATTCTGTGCGATTCATGCATGTTCTATTTGTGCTTCATGGTGTTTTAGTTTATTTGGAAAGGGTCATACTCAGACGGTAATGAGTTGACAATGAATTGTACAAGTAAATTTTGTTCCACTTCCATTCCCAAAGACTTAAGTCTTGCTGCTACGTTTGTCATTTCGATGACATGCTCATGCATGGTACGTGAACCATCAAACTTCATGGTAGTCAAAGAACCCATTAGTGTCCCAGCAAGAGACTTATCAGTAGTTTGAGAGGATTCTTCCAGAAATTTCAGAAAATCTTTTGCATTTTATGTTTTGGGAAGAGTAGTCTTAATGTTGCTCGCAATATTCATTCACATAAACATTATACCTAATCTGTTAGATCGTAACCAATGCTTATAATGAAACTTTTCTTCAGTACTGTTAGTTTCAGTAATAGCAGTTGGCTTCTCACTGTAAAGTGAAACATAAAGATCTAAAACTCCAAGATGGAATTTGATCTGTTTTCACCAATCTGAGAAGTTAAGCCGTTGAAGGTCGTAACATAGGCAAAGTGGGAATGAAGACCAAATGCTGCAAATATAATATACTCATTTGTTAATACTTTGAGTTATGAATTTTAACTTACTATCAAATTCAAAAATGTTTTATAAATTTTTAAGTGTATATTGATGTCCTCCTTTGCACGAAACATCAAAATACAACTTTAGGCATAATGATGCTTAGATGTGAATTTAACGTAATTCAATAATTTTAAATGTGTCAATCATTAATATTTATTATCTTTGGATAAATAAATAACACTAATGACACATATAAAATATCTCATTAAAGTTCAATAATTATAGAATGAAATCTTACAACCAAAACCTTCAATATATCCATAAGTTATATTAGTTATAAGCATCAAAATAATGAATAATTGAATATACATTTAGTCATTATTATTTTGAATTAATTCTTCAAAGATTAGACCACTTTGGTGAATAACTAATCTCATATGCTGAATTTCAAAATAAAATACATCATGATAGAGAATAATTTTTTCTCTTAATTGTACATATTACCATTTTCAAATAATGAAAACATTAATTTTATGAAAAATTACTAGTTCTTAAACCATGCTCTGATACCACATATAAAGATTTTTTAAATGAGTGTGAAAACATAAACAATCTAATATTTAGAAATTCTATCAATCATTCAGGATCGTAGAACTATATGATTTTCACATATATTTAATATTATGATATTTCAGTCAAGAATAAATACACGAATCTGCCATTATAATTATTGACTTGATTGAGCGAAAGTTTTTTCTTTTGGTTCTTTAGAAGTTATTTCTCTCTCTTGTCTTATACTTTATGTATAGCTTTGATGGATAATACTATATATTTATGGCAGAGAGAGGACCTTTAAAATAGAGTGCGTTTTAACACCATTCTTATCTTTCCATCATGGTGAGTAGTGGAGATAATGGATAGTTGGAAGAGGTAATGGATAAAGTGGAAGACTTAATGGGTAGTTGAAGTAACTTCTCCACTTCTCCAATTAGAATTAGAATTTAGTTAGTAATTAAATATTAAACCAAAATAATATTAATGTTAGTGGGTCATAAAACTAACATTTCCTTCCATACATTGCTCCATGAATCCTAACTAGGATTCTGGTTGTCTTGAGTTTCTTTGATGTGTTGTTTTTCTTAGAGTCTTCATGATTTTCAGGCTGCTTTATTTCCAAATTTGTTAATTTCATGTGAATTATTATTATTCAGAATATAACAAGTTAACGATAAAGGGTTGACCTTTGTTGGATATTTTTGGGTAACATTGTAAAATTACAATTGACAACCAAGAAAAAATACACGCTAAGAGCACCTCGTCCATCGTCAATAGTGATGATCCTCAGACCTCAGAAAAACAAAGCAGATAACTAATTACAAAATTTTTTGCCAAAAATTCCTACTCCTATGAGCATTTTTAAAACACTTGAAAAAATCTATCCTATTTATAGTGTCCTGTTTGATTTGCTTCATAACTTCGCTTTTTTTTTTATCTCAACACCTTTGTATGGTCTCCAGTTCCTCGCTATCCATGTGTTATATATAATCCTCCCATAATAGCTGTCATTATTTCCTTTTTGAATTTATTTCATTGCTTTCTCATTATGATCATCTTCATAACCTGTTTTATCTCTCCGGTGATTTACAATATATATTTATCTTCTGTATTTGAGTTTTTTTTCATAATTATTTTTTAACCATTTTAATTCATTTTGAATAATTATAATTTTAATAAGTATTATACATTTTTGGTTAATTAATTTTATTAGTACCTTTTCAGAAATAAAAGAATCATTAACTAAAAGAAGAAAATAACCTATATCTAGTTAAGTTGTTGATATGCGCTCAAGCTGATTCAAACACTCTTGTAAGGATCTAACGAGATTATTTTACTTTTATATTTGTGCCTTGTTGCAATGTAAATTGTACGAATTTTGAGTGAAGATTAGGGATTGTCTTGCTTTTGTATTCAATTATATTATTGTTTGCAGGAAACATGTGTAATTTGCCTTGGGAGTATAAAAGCTGAGAAAGGCAAGGCCATATTTACTGCTGAATGCATGCATTCTTTTCACTTCAGCTGCATCGGCGAAAATGTTAAGCATGGGAACCTCATTTGCCCCATCTGTAGATCCAAATGGAAGGAGATCCCTTCCCAATTTGGTGCTGATGTTACTATAGTGCGTCGAATTCGGGTGCTTCATTGTGTTAACCACTCTCGTCCTTTACCAACAGTATCTCCACCCCTTCCCCAACACGTCCAATTTTTCAGATGGGGGCTCAAGCATTATACATATCATGGGCTATAATATGGTTTCGGATGATCAGCACTCAGGCCGCAGTTAGTACAACTTTAGATCGGCCTTGGTAGTGTTATTGGTGAGTCTTCATATTTCGAGGACGATCAATAGATTTCATTCAGTTGTTACTGTTTTAGTTTTTCAAAAAGATAGAGTTAGCTAGGGGCTTGTCCTAGCAACTCATGTCAGTAGAGGCTTTCAGACAGTCAGATTTGCTCCAGCTTATCTTTACTCAGATACTTGTTGCTTTCAGTTTAATAAACCTATTTATTATTTAACTTTGTATTTATATTTCAGTTCTATGTATGTATATCTTAGTGTCATGATAGTCCATCTGTTTACTTGGGGTCACTTGTGGCCCTAAGTACCATATTACGACTATAGGGTAGTCTCGGGTTATGACATAGTGGCAAAATGAATGGATATAAGAAATTGACTCTCGTGAAGCAAATAATGTGCTTTGTAATAGAGAACTTGGGGAATTCAGACCGACTATATATAGTTATGAATCAGTTGCCTTGTTCAATTCGTCATTGCATGTAATAGACAAAGGGCAAAAAATATGTCAAGTTTCCCTGTTCATACTTTTGGGTTTGGATTGGACCATCATTTATTCTGCTCTGTATGCTATTTCTGATACCACATTTTCATTCATTGAATCATTTTTTACTGTTCAAGATGCCTTGCATTGGTCTCCTTAGTGTTGTAGCCCAGGAACTTCAACTTAGCTGCCGTAAAGATTGTTTACATTTATTTTCTTTTGTTTGTTTTACCATTGAAGCAAGAATCAACAACTAAACCAAGGACAGTCCCATAGATTGTAAATATTTTTTGTTTCCTAACGTGAAAGGTTGGTGATCATTGATATATGGATCACTGCTACAAAGTAAGACGTGATTTTGGACTCCCCAGTCCTTAGCTAAAGCGTGGTAGTTGCACATAATGCATTACGTTTGTTTGATTTCTCAGGTCATGATGACACCTACTATATAACCCCTGTAAGTAAGACACCATGTAACGTGAAACAAGTAACGAATACATGGGTAGAAACAAAACAAGAATAATTACTTGAGCATAAATAACAAGAGAATAAGGCGGAGGATATATATATAAGATAAAATATTCAACCCATAGCTTGGAAGTCGCAATTACAGAGCTACTACAAAAAGAGTACAAGTCCCAAAAGTGGACCAAAAATATACAGACTTGTTTCATATCACAAAAGACTAGCCAAATAATATGGAAGGAGACATGTACAATTCATTTGTGTCGTCCTCCTTGTCTCCATTCCCATCCCCATCACACGATTATCCAAAGTTCGTTTTCATTTTCTCCTATCTTTTTATTTTTTGTTTTGTTATTTCTCATTTCCCTCTTTTTGCCGGATAATCATTGTTCCCCTTCTTACTTTCAGACCACCACTAGATTGATTCATAAATACTGGGAGTGGCAGCTACTATAGACCAGCAAAAATTGTGCTTTTTCTAAATAAAATTCAAGTCGTCTTCTTACTTAATTATCCTTCATTTGTTGTTTTGGCTATGATTGAAAATGAGGCGGTGCAGAGAAGGGAAGTTATAGGGAAAATTCAACCAAGCTTTGTTTCATATTTGCGATGAGGCTAATGTATCAAATCTCTTCTTGCTATAGTTAAAAAGATTAATACGACTGTTTAGACTCGTAAGCGAGTGTTATTTAAAAGACAGGAATTCGAGATAGTCCAAGTTTCTAGCAGTTGGACAGGAGCTTAGAGGAGAAGCTTGAGTTATTTAGCTATGATTGAAAGAGAAAATTTCAGTAGTAATTTGTTGTTTATTCATTAACGATTTGAATAGTAATGATACAATGCCTTCTTTTAGAAATAAGAAAGAATCAAATTTGCTAATTTCTTCTAACTAATTCAACAGCCCATAACTAACTAATGATTTTCACTTAGAACATGATTTTCATACCTTGCCATTTTTAGCAAATGAAGGATATATATTTCAACCAACACGTGAGTAGAGAAGTGGAAGCCATATGCCCCACAAAATGTAAAAGATAGAAAAATATCTAAATTATTGTACCTCATGTAAATAAAGTAAAAGTGGGACAAGGAGATTTCTCAAATACTCGTACATATGAGACTCTAAGGTTAAAACATAAAACATTAAGGAGTTAAAAAGATATTCAGAAAAGGCATAATATATTAATATGCCCTTTAACTTGACTTCAAATCACATTTATTTCCTTCAACTTTGGGTGGGCACAAGTAAACACTTAAATTTGTATAAATTGAACAAATAGACACACATGTCCTACATGACATCCTACACGTTATTTTTTGTCCTACATGGTAAACTACATGTATTGTGCCACGTAGGACTCATGAGTCTATTTGTTCAAGTTTATACAAGTTTAAGTGACTACTTGTGTATACCCAAAGTTGAAGGACATAAATATGAAATGAGGTCAAGTTAAAGGGCACATTTATGTATTATTTCTTTAAAACCTACTGAAGGGTGACAAGAAAATTTGTTGAATTAGTAGGTGAAGAAACGTGATACTTAAAAATAGAATTTCCCACGAAAATATCAACACCATTAACTTCACACTTGAAAGTTGCAATGAGATTGAGCACTCGACCTGATCAAAAAGAAATTTTCATGGAGAAATTGAGAAAGGAGAAAGAGGTTTATCTGAAAGTGTCTGCAGAGAAAGTTGAAATTAATCGAAATGAAATTGAGAAAGCGGAAGAACTCCAACTTATCAGAGAGAAATTGTCATGGAAAAATTTGAGAAATGAGAAAAAGTTTATCCTGAAGGAGTGTTTATAGAGAAATTATAAGTTCATTGGAATGAAATTGAGAAAGCGGAAGCAACTCCAACTGACCAGAAAGAAATAGTCATAGAGATTATGACAAAGGAGAAGAGATTTATCCAAAAAGAGTGTCAGCAAAGAAAGTAGAAGTCAATCTGAATGAAATTGAGAAAGTGGAAGTAATTTTACCTAATCAGAAAGAAATTCTCATGGAGAAATTTGATAGAAGAGAGGAAGTTTATCTGAAAGGAGTGTCTCTAGAGTAGGCTTGGTAAGGGAACGGTAATGGGGATGGGGCAGAAGAGGGATGCCCTTGGCTGGGATTCCGCCAAGACCGGGATTAGGGGATCAGGATTGACGGGACAAAAGTATGTCCCATCCCGTCCTACTATATATATATATGGGATGAGACAATTGTCACGACCCGAGTCTACACCCTGGACGTGGGCAGAAGTAAAGAATCATTGTTGGTACCAAGCGAACCCTCATCCTGAATGACTACAAGCGGATGATTAACTTAAGCATGCAAAACCTTTTAACTGAAAAAAAAGTTCTTAAAACTCAAATACAAACTTTAACTCAAAATAAAACTCTGAATAATAAAATATATTCAACTCGGCCCTAAATAGGCAACTTAAGACTTTAAAATATTCAATAAATTAAATGAATAATACAAACTTCTCAACTATATTGTCTATCTATGAAGCCTCTAACTGATAATAATGGAAGTTGGGACAAGATCCACGAAACCTTGGTTAAACTAAAAAGTAAATGAAATCCTCCGGAAGCAAGGAGGCTCACCATAACTAACTCGAACTCTATGATGTATCAAAGAAACTCCTATTGATGATCCTGAATATATGTGTCTACATCATGAGAAGATGCATGCCAAATGGATCAGTATGTGAACTGTACGAGTATGTAAGGGGAATTCTAAAGCATAACATAAGCTAGAATCTTGATAAAAAAAAGACGTGCTTACCTTACATAACTCAAGAATACTCAAAACTACTTAACTTACTCAACTCAGAAGTACTCAAGGAAAAGATACTCAACTCAGAGATTAGATACTGAACTAAATATTAGATACTCAACATTAAAGGTACGATACTCGACTCAATGAAGCACTAATCAGCTCAAGATACTCAACTTAAGATACTCAACTTGAAACACTCCTGATACTTAACTGTACTCATTTTAATGTAAAGTCGTTTAAAACATGTGCAATATAAAGAAAAATTGTTTAAAGACTATTGAAGTTTTGCAACACTAATGAACAAGTAGCAGATATCTTCACAGAGGCACTGTCATATCAGAAGCATGTCTATTTTAGACCATTGCTTGGTGTTAGTGATTTTGAATCAATGGGGAATGTTGAATAAATAATTCAATCAAAAGAAGAGAAAAATTATTAAAGTTTCTTTTAGTGTTTTTCTTCTTCTGTTAATAGGTTGTTTGAATCTAAACGTGCTCTGATACTACAAATATTGGAGAACAGAGATCTCAATCTCACTCAAGAACCAAAATATTGGAAAGGAAAAAAATAATAACAAGGAGGCAAAGTGTTCTTGAACTGAAAGCTTCTGTTTTCATATGATCTTTAGCATCAATGATGCCTTTTAAATAGGCTTAAAACTCAACTAAAATGCAGAATTAAAAGGGCACTAACTCAGTAGTGCTTTCAACTAAAATGATAAACTTAAGGATCAAATAACAACTATCCTAGACTAAGTCAAAGTGCAATAAAAACACTAAAAGAAACTGTAGTTGTTTTCTTTTCTTTTGTTTAAAGCATTTATTCAACAAAGACATGATGTCAACTCTATGTATATAAAAATGATATAACATAACTTTGAAATGTATATGAAAATACAATTAACTTATGTATATAAAAATAAAATAACTTTTGTGAGAGTTTCTCTAACCAACAACCATCACTTAAGAGCTATAGTGATGATACAACACTTTACCTCACACTACCAAGGACCATCCTATACCTTGCCATCAGTACATGAGCTAACTTAACTTAGTGGATCCACTACTCTATTGTGAACAAGATTCATCAAACAAATATGACCCTTTTTTACCCATGGTGGTTACATGATTTTATGGAGACATCAGTTATCTGAACTCATGCTCGCCCCTAATTCGGTGCTTAAAATTACTCCCAAACTATAGTAGCTTTTATATTTTTAAAAACATACTTCTCCTGTAATTTGAGATTAGTGCTCAAAAACTTATATGAAGGGTGATCTTGGATATATCAGTTTCTCTTCTTGCTTCATTTAGAAAGCTATTACTCTTTTTTAATGAAAACTAGCTCAAAGACTCTATACTGAAAAATTAGCTCAAAGGCTTTGTTCTGAAAAACTAGGTCAGAGGCTCTTTACTAGAAAACTAGCTCAAAGGCTCTTTTGGGAATCTCAGATTCCTTTCTTATTTATATGTGAAAACATTTACGAACTCTTCGAAA